CGCCCCCTTCACGCCCCCGTCCAGCGTCGCCTTTGCCGAGGATTCCGACGTCGGGAGCACGCCAAAAGGGGGGGACGAAAACAATGAAGAAGAGCAGGAGGACGAGGCGAGTTTTCATCCGCACGTGATCTGCTCCCCACGGGAAAGCCACACCGCCTCCCCTTTCGCGGTTTCGATGAGAACCCTCAAGGAATCGCAATCGACGGGGTCTCCAAGCGGGGGGGAGGAGGCCGCGATCGCACGGGATGGGGGTTGTGGGGAAGCCTCAACCCCCTCGCCGGCGTCGTCATGCGAGGATGCCCCACAAACCCCCATTAAGCCGCCGGAACTCGCATCGGGCGGTGTGAAAGACGAGCATCTGACGTTTTTTACCGAAGGCGAGGCTTCCTGCGAGGCTGCGAGCGCCTCGTCAAGGACGATTTCCTCCTCCCATACGGTGGATCTCCGGTCGTTGGCGGGAAACACCGCGGCGGAATCGCCCGGGGCGGAGCGAAGTCGAACCCTCCACGAAATCAGCCGCGCATCGGAAGTTACCAAAAGTCGCACGGATTGTTCGGTGGTGATCCATAGCCGGAAATCAAATCGATCGCTTGATCGTAGCATCGATGGCGAGTTCAGCGATGCGGAAGAAAGCAAACTCATAGCGCTCCTTCAGAATCAGCTGAGGAATACCGTAGAGCTGCCATCTCGTCGCTTGTACGCGCGTTCGCCGCTCCGATCGGACGGGTTTTCGACGGAGCACCCCATCGCGAGGGCGTCTTTTTCCTCTCCAATGCCTTTTGAGAAGGCGGGAGAGGAGGGGGGTGCGGCCGGATTCCTTGGCTCTTGTGCGTCTAAACAGCCCCTTTGCAGGGAAACCCTGCGGGATAGGCGAAGCCCCTTGAGGAATGAAAGGCCTGGGATTAAAGTGAAGCCGCTTGATCCACGTAACTATGCGGAATGGGATCTGAAACTTGCGGAAGGCGACGCGCCCGCAGCAATGAGGAATTCCCCCAAAATGGTCTTTTCTCCCCTTTCAATTGACAAAACTTCATCGGACGTTAACAACCACGATCCGGCACCAGATTCGACCTCCTCGGCGAGCAAAAAGCCGACCACAACGCCTGAAAATGTCATTAACCACCGCCGCGCGCGCCGAAAAAGTGCGCTGCCTCTCTTTCCGCCTTCTCCAGGGCCATCCAGGTCGAGAACAACGACCGATGCGAAAAATGAAAAAAACAACGCTGCGATTTCCTCCCTCGACGACAATAATTCCTCCTGTCGGGATTCTTATCAAGCGGCTTCTTCGTTCGTCAGCGTCGCGGCTGGTGCCTCTGACGACCCTTACTTCTCCCACGAAAAGTCGGTTTATGTCGAGAAAAAAGCGCCGAATCGGTGGTCGAACGCGCCTCTGACGTCTGAGGTCGTCGCGTCTTTTGAACGAATCCCCGCGCTGCGTTCACCTCGCCTGGCTCCCTTGAACATTCGCGGCTTGATGAATTCCCACAGTTCCTTCATGACGTCTTCGAATAAATCTCTCGAGGGTCGAACGACCGGCTACGATACCGCTTCTGCACAGCTCGCTGAAACGGACGCCTCCTCGTATAATGAACTCGATTTAATGCAAGATACGAGTACGGGAAGCGCCTGATTAGTGGAGAATTGACCAATACTTGTAAATGCACATATATATCTATATGCATCTACCGTTAGAATAGGCCGTTTTACTTTTACTTGACGCGCATCGGTCATAGAAATAAATTACTGGAGGTACTTACGCCCCCATCGCGGCCTCCTCCATCTTCTGAAATCATTCCAACATCGACAGATCATTTATGAAACCTCAATTCGTATCGCTTTTTCTCCTTTTGGGGGGTGCGCATATGCATGGTGCGCGTAAGTATATGTTTATGCGAATGCAGTGCAATAGCAATGGCTTAATAGAGTAATTTGAGACAAAATGTTTTAGCCTTCCGAATGAATTCGCTGTATGTTTCTTTTTGTGTTACTCTAGGTTAGAAACACGTTGCATATCGTTCTGTCTATATAGATAGATGGATATAGTTATATAGATATTTTAACTGTACAATTCAATGAACCACAACTACCACATACGGCGACCAACCCCACATAACATAGGCAACACGCGTAACCTAAAAGAATGTGTACATTCTTTAACGGAGGCGGGGAACCCCTCCATAAATAACTCGGAGATTTCCAATAGCAAAGCCCCACAGGTTGCGATTAACGGATTCATCGCGTGGTTGCTTTTTATTGTGTTTACGGTGATGTATTTGGTCTGGGCGATCGTTCCCGATCGCGTCTTGCATCAGCTGCATATCACGTATTATCCGGATAAGTACTGGGCCGTGGCGGTGCCCGCGATGCTTGTGATCTTCTTTTCTTATTACTTCACCACACACGCGTTTTTAGTTCTCATGATGACGTATCCGTTAGATGACGGCCACGTGATCACGGATGTGGATGCCAAGACGGATACGCAGGTGAACGTCGCCGTGCTCGCGGAGCAGACGGGGAGTGTTCCGATGTGGGTGTATATCCCCGTATCGATTTCCAGCCGTTTACTATTTCAACCCTGGAAGGAAAAGTGAGGATGACGGAGAGGGGGTGCACGAGCAAAAAGACATATCATTCTATAAATATGTTGCGTGCGATAAGCGAAGAAGAGAGTTGAGAAGGGGAAAGGATCTAGGGTGTCAAGTAGATCAGCTGTTTGCTCCCCATTTCTAGATGAGTGTATTCACGTTAAAAGAATGTAGTATTGTTTGGAAAATAACCTTTGGTTGTGTGTGTACACGTGCATTGGATCAAATGCATTCGCTACTTTTGATGTTTTTCTTTTCTTTTTGAACTTCTTTGTAGGTTGAGGAAGGAATACCATCCCACCATGATCACAAGGACGCTCATACGACGAACGACGACATCCAAGCTCCCGTTGCTGCTGACTGCCGTCCGTAACGGCCGGATAAGTTTCAACGGCGATGATATCTACCGCCTGTGTGTGATGCTTTACGGCCCGGAGAAGGACGCGCTTGGGTTGCGGGAGGATCCACAATTTATGCACGCCCTCGCGGATCAATTTCATTCCCAATACGGCCCCGACAGCGAGGCGACCGGGGATGGGGGGAGTGGAACGGTCCCCGAGATGGGGGCGTTTCAGAAATCCCTCATTGAAGGGGTTTTGACGCCTTACATGACGGTCCCCTCCCCCTCGGGGGATCCCGCCGGGGCGGACGTCGCGCCCGTCCTCACCCCGCCGCGGGGTCCAACGGGGGAACCCTCGGCGTTGGAGCGGGTGAATGCGATTTGGGAGGTCGTCTCGGAGGTGCTTGGCGGGGCGTCGTCGGATTCGTCGTCCTCGTCGGCGCCCTCGCACGGGGTCGGGATCGGGCGGTCTCAAATGCAGACGATCGAGCAGCACATGGACGCGCTCGAGCCGCGGCTGCGGAGCCTCTCGCCGATGGATTTTTGCCGCCTCGTGAAGGGGCTCGCCTGCGTGAATTATCGCTCGCACCCCCACACGGCGTTGCTTTGCCGGCGAAGCGGCGAGATCGCGACGCGGCTGCCCGCCGGCGAGGTCTGCCGCCTCTTCTTCAACCTCCACAAACTCAACGCGAGCGACTCCTTGCACGCGCTGATCAACCGAATCCTCGCGAAGGTCGAGGGGCTCACCGCGGAGGAGATTTGCCTCCTCGCGCAGGCGTTGGAGCGGCAGCCGAACCCCACCCCGGCGGCCGCGCGGCTGCTCCCACGCCTCGCCGCGCAGGCGGTCCGCGAGCTCCCGCGGGCGACCTCGAGCGCCTTCCATCGCGCCCTCCTCAGCGCCTTCGCGCGATATGGGGTGCGGGAAACCGAGGTCGCGATCGCCCTGCTCACGGACCTCGCGCGGTTTCAAACCAGCCTCCCCGGGCGCGATCTCCCGGTCATCCTGCAGGCGATGGGGCACCTCCGCATCCCGCCGTCGTGCGAGGCCTATGGGAGGCTCCTCGCCCGCGCGGAGGGGGTCGTGCGCGGGGAGATGGAGCTCCACGCGGTGGAGTCCCTCCTCGATACGCTGTCG